AGTGAGCCATTCTAGACATTTATTTTGCCCAAATTCTCCTTGGTAAAGTTCTGTTGTCTTCAACTTAATTCATAGGCACCAAATCCAAATTAGGGTTTTTACATCAGCTTAGAATGTGAATATCTGCTATTCCCAAGAGCTATCATTGTGCATTTGGGAAGCTGAGAGTAGGAAAGTGAATGCTTGGGTAGGTGAATGGATTCTAAAGAATCCGTGTTGCACACCACTGGTGACTATTACACATTAGTTTGGGGTTTGATTAGTTTCCAGACCTTGTAATATGTATGTAGCCAGGGGTATTGCAGTCAACTTTATAATTACCTGAACATAGCCTAACTCTTAAATTTAGTTTTTAAGAGTGGGCCTAAACTTCTTCCCCTAGGTATCTCTTGGAACTGGTTGTCCCTAGAACTGTGCTGATAGAACTGTCTTGCTGAAATTCCATCCCTGGAACTGTGTCCTGACACCTTGCCCCACCCATAATTTTATTCAAAATGGTTTCTCCAACTTCAGTTGGGGAAGTGCAAGTTTGGTTCCACCCTAATCTTATCAGACATCCAACTTTTTCATCCCTAGTTCTGAGACCAACTCACCCTAGTCTTGCATCCTTCCCAGTCTCCACTGCATGCAATGAAGTGGGGTGCACTTGCTTTCAGCACTTTGCTATGTTAATTCTCAAGCACACCCACGTTGTCTCCTGGGGTGGAGTACCAAATTGAAGTTGCCTAGGAAACAGTTGCCCAGGTCACAAGACACAAGAGCACAGGTTTTGCTGGGGTTGTCATAAGTCCAGATTATGTCCATTTATAAAAAGTCTTCATTTTTGGTTTTGGTTTTGCTCTTTTCCTTAACTGATTATTCAGGAAAAGTATCCCATGAACAGAGGCTTTAATGAATCTTCGGGGCTAAATTTTACCTTGCTAAGGGCTTTTTATACCCTTGTGGCTGCCTGCTGATCTCTGAGGTGATGCGTTCCACTGGAGAGGACTCTCAGATGATTTGCACTGACAAGAAGAATCTGGAGTTTGTTAGCCATGCTTGGCTTCTGTGAATTTCACTTGAGAACTTCATATTTGCCATCTCTTCTACCCTGGATGTCTACCCCTGTTCTTTCCTAAGTTGATATTCATACTTTAAGATTCAGCTTACAGGGCTGGAGAGATGGCTCAGTGGTTAAGAGTACTGACTGCTCTTGCAGAGGACCGGAGTTCGATTTCCCACATGGCAGCTAACAACTGTCTGTAACTCCAGTTGCAGGGGATCCACTGCCCTGTTCTGAACTCGCAGCATTGCATGACATAAGTGCACTTGTATACATGTAGACAATACACTCATACACATAAAATAAAAAATAATAAATAAAACATTTTTTTAAAATACCCATATGCATATAGTAAAAATTAAAAAAAAGAAGATTCAGCTTACAGGGCTGGAGGATGACTCAGCAGTTAAGAGCACTGACTGCCTTTGCAGAGGACCGGGGTTTGATTCCCAGCACCCATAGTACGGCTACGAACCACCCTTAACTCCAGTTCCAGGGTAATCCAAAGCCCTCTTCTGACCCCCAAGGCATTGCACGACACCGGTGCACTCACATACATTCAGGCAATGTACTCATACACATAAAATAAAAATAATAAAATATTAAAAAAAAAAAAAAAAAAGGATTCAGCTTACATGCTACTCCCTCCAGGATTCACCTGACCTTCTGTAACTCCACTGCATCTGTGGCCATGCGCTCTTTGCTGTGCATTTCAGCTGTCTTGTTTTTTTGCAGGTCATTCTTAATAGAGAATTAAAGTTTGGAGGATTCCTGGGAACCTATGAGAAACAAGTAATTATTTATGAAAGACAAATGTCTTTTTGAAGAGGAAATTTAACCACTCCACATCTTGCTCCCACCCTCTGTAGCCACTGCATAACTAACACGAAGTTTGCAGGAATAGATCTTATGTGTGTGTGGATTTTCCTTCTTTGTAATCAGGAATCCTAAATTCATTCTCCACCCCACACCCTTATCCTATCAATATGTATTTTATGTAAGAATATGTTATGTATCTTTTCCTCTCCTGTGTATTCTCTGGTATTTGTCCTCTGCCATTTTTGTGACATGTCCTTCTCTAGGGAATAACACAAGTTCACATTCTTTAAAGTGAGTTTTTGCCAGTAAACTTTATGTAACTTGTAACATTGGCTGGATCAGTCTTACAGTATCAATAGATTTTAGGGCTGGTGTGATGGCTCAGTAAGGTAAAGGTACTTCCAAACAATCCTGATGACCTGAGTTCAATCCTGGGGACCCACACCCACATGTTAGAAGGAGAGAATTGACTCTTGCAAGTTGTCCTCTGACTTCCACATGTATGTCATGGCATATGCATGCCCATGCATACATACACAGAGATAATTATCCAAAATAAGTAAATAAATATAAAAATTTTTGAAGAAAAACAAAATTTACCCTGCAGGGTGTTGAAGGCTGTTTGAATGGGGAAAATTTACTGTATGTCAGGGGTTTATTTTCTAATCCAGTTCTCTTTTTGTTTTGTTTGTTTTGTCTTTTTGAGACAGGGTCTCCCTGTAGCCCCAGCTGTCCTGGAACTCACTATGTAGACCAGGCTGGCCTTGAACTCACACAGATCTGCCTGCCTCTGCCTCCCAAGTGCTGGGATTAAAGGCGTGTGCCACTACACCTGGCTGTTTGTTTGTTTTTATTGTTTTGTTATTATTATTATTATTATTATTATTATTATGCACTCATTAAGCTATTTATTGGACAAATCATTTATAGAACATCAATTATTAAGCCTGAAAAAAATTAGAGGTTCATAAAGTTTGTAAGGTTAATACATGAAAGTGGAGCTAGTTGTTCATACACTATGGCTCAAGATGGATAAAACAACTAGGAGAAAAGCTCTCAGGGCTGAGGGTATAGCTCAGTGGCAGAGTGCTTGCCTAGCATTCATGAAACACTGTGTTCAATCCCCAGAACTGCAAAAACCAAACTCAAGTTTGCTGATGTGAGAAGTAATTTGCCAGTACCAAAGCATTACTAAATGCAAAATTCTGTTTATGGCCGTACCCCCCCCCCCCAATGTACCCCATCACGGCTAAATGACAAGTGATCTAGCATTTTCATTCTATCACCTTTCCTCATAATCTAATTAGGATCCCAGGGCAAATTTGACAAAAGGCAGAGGAGTCAGGGCTGATGGTATGAACAATTGTAGATAATTACCTATACAGACTTGTTTGGGTCATCTGCTATTGGTTCTGTCTCAGTTCTACTGAAGTTATTACATACTCAAGCTTGAAAAGGAAGATTTTTCTGCCTTCCAACTCTCGTCTGACCCTCTAGTCCTACCAGATGGGTCTGGAAAGGGGTGGATATGAAACAAGTGTGAGTGTGGCCCTAGCAGGGACTGTAAGCACAAAAGGCTAAATGAGAGCTAATAAAAAGAGAGACCTCGAAAACCTGTCTATCTGTATAAATCAACCCAAAGATCTAAATCTACACAAGGGTAAAGCTCTACCATATATGTACTCAAATGTCAGGCAAAGCCCTACTGTCTCCTTTTCCTATAAAATGCAAGGTACTATCTATACTAATTCCAGTTATTAACTGAAAATACAGTTGAGGATTTTTGTATTCAAAGCCATCAGAGTACCAATTTAAAACTGATTTTTGTAAACATGTTTTGATAGGAACACTTGCCACATTGTTCAAATGCCCAATGGCCAGACTTCTGATGACGGTAAAACCAACAGAATGTCTTAGAAATAAAGCAAATATGCCGGGCGTGGTGGCGCACGCCTTTAATCCCAGCACTTGGGAGGAAGAGGCAGAGGCAGGCGGATCTTTGTGAGTTCGAGGCCAGCCTGGTTTACATAGTGAGTTCTAGGACAGCTGGGGTTACAAGGAGACACTGTCTCAAAAAAGACAAAAAGAAATAAAGCAAATACGACCAAATCCAAAACAGATCACATGGAGTACCTCTTGTACAATACGAACCTACTTTAATAAATAAAGGAAACAGGTGCCTGTACTCTGGGAGAGTATTTAGTTCCTGACACCTTGTTCATAGCCTTCTCTGAGACTTACTGCCACTGAGACTTACTGCCACTTCTCCCTGCGTAAGTCAAATGGTGTGGCAATGGAGTATGTGGCCATCTTGCCATACCAATGCCACAGTGCCAAGCTGTACCCCAACACCAGCTGGCACGTGACAGATGCATTTGCTCATAAGGGTTGTATTTGTCACTGATGGGTGTCGTCTTCTCTGGGCCATGCTTGGAAAACACATTTTTCAGCTTTATTTCCAAAAGTGACAGCCTGTGGTCCTCAGGTTCTACTCCTGAAAAGTACTTAGCAGTCTTCTCCAAAATATCTGCTACCTCCACCAAGTCCTTACAAAAGCTCTGGATTCTTTATAAATCTTATCCTTGTGATAGGGTTGGGGATCTAGTTTTTGCCCAGCCTTCCTGGGGCCCTGGGTTCAATTTCTAGTACTGTTAAAACAAATGTTAAATCCTAGGCTTCCTTTTCCAGTTTAACAGCTTTTAGACTTAAGGCTCATTCAGCAAGAGCGGGTCCTCAGAGTTGCAGTCTTCCCCAGCAATTCTCTGGGTGGCAGTGCTGAATGAGTATAGCCAGCCCCTGAATCAGTGACCTCTCTGCCATGTTCGTGAGCTGGGTTTGTTTTTTTGAGGCAGGGTCTTCTGACACAGTCTCATTCTCTATGTAGCTGAGGATGACCTTGAACTTCTGATCCTCCTGCCTCTACCTGCAAAATACTGGAATTGCAGGTGTGCATTGCCTTGCCCAGTTTTTATGTGGTGCTGGGGATCAAACCCCAGGTCTTGTGCGTGTTAGACAAGCACTCTACCAACTGAGCAACATCCCCAGCCCTTGACTATCTTTTGATAATGTCTTTATTTCCCCACTTTCTATTAGCACCCTTTCCGAGTGGTTTTTACCAACTGTTCTTTCTTTTTTTCAGATCACCGATTCTGCTGGCCATATTCTATACTCCAAGGAGGATGCATCCAAGGGGAAGTTCGCCTTTACCACTGAAGATTATGACATGTTTGAAGTGTGTTTTGAGAGCAAGGGTAAGTAATTAAAATGTTTTCCCTGTATTAAGCATCTTCTCCAACTCCATAATGCCACCTGCTGTAGTCAGCACTTGAGTTACATTTTGATATTGGTTTATTCTGAAATGGAGACCCAACACCTTGTTATCTTTGAATCATTCTAAAAGATTATCCAAGGGGAATAATTGAAGAAGTATAGCACAGAGGCTTTCTAAGGTAGTGAAATCTTCTATCTGATACTATAGTGGTATGTACATATCACGGTACATTTATTCCACTCTCTCATGTGCTTTGGGTGATAATGATGTGTCATTGTAGGTTCATCATTTGAGGACCACTCCCATAGCAGATGTTGGTAATGGGAAGGCTGTGCTAGCATAGGGGAGGGAGAAATGGAAAATCTCTGTACTGCTTTCCTCTCAGTTTTGCTGTGAACCTAAAGCTGCTCTAGTAAAATAAAATCTGGGAAAGCAAACAAAAAACAAAACTACCTGTTTGCCAAGCAAATACAGAGAGAGAGAGAGATTACTGGAAAGGTTTTTACAGAGAAGATCCTTAAAAGTCTTGGTTTCAGCCAAGGGAATAGCCTGACTATTCTGCTCAAGAAATTGTATAGTTTAGTCTCAGATCAGCCAGAGGTCTGTGGTTTTGTGGTTTCACTTAGGCTTGGAAAATGCTAATACTGTGCTATGATAAGTTGAGGTGGAAGACTCCTAGAAAGAGGATACCTGAAATCCAGGTGTGGTGATTCTCAATTGTAATCCCAGCACTCAGGAAGTTGAGGATCACTGAGTTTGAGGCCAGCCTGGGCTACAGTGTAACAGCATCTAAAAAAGAAAAAAATAAAAATGAGGGAGAAAGGTTTTTTTGGGTTTTTGTTTGTTTTTTGTTTTTGCAGTACTGGAGAGTCAACACAGGGCCTTGCACTTGCTAGTGGGCACTCTTATCACTGAGCTATAGCCCCAGCCCAAGACTGTATCTGATCACTTTGACCAAGGAGAATGGATCTACTTCAGTTTTACTTCAATGTGTAACCCAGACTTGCCTTGAACTCCCAGTGATCCTCCTGCCGCGGCCTCCTGAATGCTGGCTTTGTGTGTGTCATCTTTTCTGGCCCTTTTTTTTCCCCCAGTGCTGAGGCAAGTGTCATACCACTGCGCTGCATTCCTCATCCTCTTTTTTTTTTCTGTATTTTTTTTTTAATTTATCTAATAACCACATAATTAGTAGAAGCATATCATTACAACAGCATTGACATAGTAACAGTTTCCAGAGCAAAGATGCATCTCTTTCAAAACTGGCTGTAAATTTTTAGGTTCACAGTGTTGAATTAATACAATTATACATTGTTGTACTCAGTATAAACCCTTTAAGACATAAAATTGAATGAGGTTTTAACCTTTAAAAAGATCTCCATTTCTGGCTGGGTGTGATGGTGTACGCCTTTAGTCCCAGCACTTGGGAGGCAGAGGCAGGCGGATCTTTGTGAGTTCAAGGCCAGCCTAGTCTACATAGTGAGTTCAGGTCAGCTGGGACCACAGGGAGACCCTGTCTCAAAAAGGCAAAAAAAAAAAAAAAAAAAAAAAGAAAAAAAAAAGCCACTCTT